GATAATATGAATGACTGTATGACAGAAATAATACTGTGTAGTTGAAAAGACTGTTTGTGAAGCTGTTTCTTAACCAAACATGGTAACTGCTCTCTGTGTGTCAGCGGCAGTGCGAACGCAGATTTGAATGATCCAGTAAGACTTTGTCAAAGGTTTAATAGACATGGGAGAATCGTTGTCATTTAGAAATGAGATCATGTGGTTGTCTGAATCGAGATCGCGATCTTTTACCGATTAATCGTGCAGCTCTACATTGACCTGAAATACAGATACTGTAATCTGGCCCATTTTAGAGCACCACAGACTCTTACATTGATTACAGAGAGAGAGAGAGAGAGAAATCTCTGAATACTTTTACTGACTACATCTGGCAATTCATTTAAAAAAAATCGTTCTTTTTATAATTTCAACCAGATTATTATTGGCTATGCCACATTAAACATCTCCCTCAGAGTGAAATTAAAACAAGATGGAGGTGAAACTACCCTTCTTGATCTAACATGGGCAGATACTGTAACTGTGAGTAATAGAGAATACAGTGATGTGAAGGGACTCACCAGAGCGGCCACAGTCTGAACAGGAAACCAGCTCCTCAGCCTGGCCTGTCTTCCTGTTAGAGCCTGAGTCTCCCAGACAGAAGTCACAGTAGTCATTAGGGATGATCGTGCCATCAGGCCCTTTCTGTGCTGTAAAAAATAGTACAAATTGAAAAGGGGAAGAGAACATAGAAGAACAGTGGCCTATTCCAAACCCTAGCAAACTAAGAAAGTATTACTTTTATTATTTTAGACATCCTAAAAGTGTAACATCATGCACACTGTAGTATTAAAGAATATAAATAGAAACATTTGTGTGTGCTATGTATTTATTTGCTTATTGAATACTAAATAATATCAATTAGAATATTTATATTGAATATGTTGAGGCAGCTCACTAATGTTTGGAATAGAGCGAATGCTACTAACTATAGTTATGCTAAAATTCACACTGGGATGTAAACTATAGAAATAATTTGTGTTACAATTATTTTACCATGTTTAAAGTCGCTATGTAGCATAAGTAGCAACAGATTATTTCTTCATATTGTAACATACAACTGAGTGAAATGGATTATCGAAAAAGAACAGAATTCAATCCATCGGTTGTTGATTGAATGAAGACAGATCTGAAAAGGGGCAGAGTTTAAGCGGACTAAACAATATCTGGTAAACCCCACCAGAAAAAAGTCTGGCGTTTTATTGGAAGATCGAGGTATTACATTTTTTTAATTGAAAAATTATGAGAATCAGAATGCAGAATATGTGCTTTATAAGTACTAATAAACAGCCAATATGTTAATAATATGCATGCTAATAAGCAACTTGTTAATAGTGAGAACTGGTCCCTATACTAAAGTTGTTTAAATAAAACATATGAATGAATGAATTGTTCACAATAATGTTATTAAAATGCAATTAGAAAACAGGCACAACACAAAAAGTAACCCACAATAAACACAACATTCATAAAATGTTTAACCCAGTGTTGGAACAGAGTCCTAGATATTAAAACACTTATTTTACAATTCAAATGAATATTAACTTACGTTTGTGATTCTCGTGGTGGACAGGAGGAGATTGGGGGATTTCAGTTTCTCGTTCTTCCTCACCCTCCTCTTCAGCAAGGTGAGTATGGGTGTAATGGTAGCTTAATCCAGGGCGGTTTTTGTAACGCTTCCCGCAAACTATGGTAAAGAACATTAGTCATGATGAAATTCATTTTACTGGCAAAAACTTCTTTAGTCTCAAATAAGTTATTCTAATAATCAAGCTGGGATCTAACACACATCTAAGGAATTCACAAAGCAGCTAGCTGTGAAGTCAAAGCGCTATCACAAAATCTACGTTGCATGTTCTCAGCCAGTGAGAGAGATATGCGGTGTGTAAGAACGGTGTTTAAGGCACAGTATTAGCACTGCAACCACACAGTGTGTCGTCATGAACACGTACAGGTGTTGCTAGGCATCGTAGCAAGTGCTCTGCACTGACTGTACCTGTAAATTGTAGGAATTCACAAAGTGTAATTGGTAATGTGACCCCCTCAGAGCAAAACTATGAATATTACTTATATATTAAATAACACCTCTGTTGAATGCGGTCAGAATCCATCACTGACACTGTATGTCTTGGGTGCAATTATGTAGCTTTTAATGTGGTCAAATGCTATCCAACTGTGATTCGATCACTGAAAACACGTTAATGCCAGTTGGCCTATTAGATTACAGACATGGGATATATCACATAGTGTTGGATACAGTATACAAATGAATTGCTTTTATTGAACATGTTGGTTTAGGTTGTCATATTATTTAAAGCTCAGCACAGAAAAGATTTGTTTCTCTCTACAGGTGGATGCAGTAAACATGTCAAGCATCTGTGGGTTGCAGACTGCAATACCAGCAAGGTAAGCACAATATTTTCACAGTAATAAATTCTCTCACTACAAATCTATAAAAAAGGATGGACAAACCAAGGAAACCATGTGTACAGTATTTGAAGAAGATCTCAACTAGCTGTCCGGTCCCCGGGATAACAGAGGACTCAAATGCAGAGAAGTAGGTGAAAAACAGAGATTTATTTCTCACAAGGCAAAACCAAAACAATAGAACAATCACAAAAACAGCGAACTAGTCCTTGGAGACTCCAGAGCTGGCCGGCAGAGTAATGCAGACCTCACAGGCTGTGGAAGCTAGTCCCAGACCCAGTGTTTGCACAGGACAGGCGACCAGAGAGATAGCGAGGCAACGAGCGGCTGTCTCTCCTCACTAGGTGTCCTGGGGTACAGTGAAACAAGGTAAGTGCTTGAATAAAAGCACTGATAACATCGTGAACATGGAACACACCAAACAATCTACTCAGAAGGAAGGACAAGAAAGCAGAGGTTATAAAGGAAGAGGGGAACAAGCGACAGGTGAGGGAGAAACAGCTCGTGATCTGTGCACCCCTGCCGCAAGATCAGCGCTGATTACCCAGGTCACAAGCTGCCGAAAGTGACAGGACAACACAGACAGCAGGGGGAGCTAATGAGGCACCCTGAACCGTGACAGTACCCTCCCCTTCAGGGATGCCTCCTGGCGTCCCCAGAGGACTCACCATGACGCTGATGGAATTGGCCGATGAAAGCGCGATCCAGAATGTTGCGAACCGGAACCCAGCATCTCTCCTCCGGACCATAGCCCCACCCAGTCTACCAGGTATTGGTGACCTCTACCCCTACGCCTCACATCGATCAGCCGCCATACAGTATAAGCCTGCAACGACCAACAGTAACGCTTCCTAGTGGAGGTGAGATCAGTCAGAGGAAGGGCGACCTAGCTGAAGTTCAGAATGAATCGCCTGCAATTTTGAATGCGATTTTGTGTAGCTTGTCAGTGATCTACAGTTCTGTGTAGTAAATGCCGCTCCATCTGAAAGCACGTGCTGGAGATTTACTACTAATCGCCAGAAGCGGCTTTACTGACGAGATTTGCATGAAAATCGCATTTGATTTTTTTGCCCAGCCCTAAAAGGCGGTCTTCCATTCGTCCCCCTCCCTAATCCGAACTAGGTGATACGCATTGCGGAGGTAAAACTTTGTAAAGATGGTTGCCCCCTGCAATAGCTCGAAGGCCGATGACATCAACGGCAAAGGATAATGATTCTTCATCGTGATGTCATTCAACCCCCGATAGTCTATACAGGGGCGCAGCGAACCATCCAGCTGGAGAGGAAGAGGGACGGATAATGCCTGCTACCTGAGAATCATGAATATACCTCTCCATGGCCTCCCTCTCAGGTCCGGACAGAGAGTAAAGGCGCCCCTTAGGCGGAGAAGTGCCAGGCAACAGGTCTATCGCACAGTCGTACGGGCAGTGCGGAGGCAGAGATGAAGCTCGGGACTTACTGAAAACCGCTCTCAAGTAATGGTAAGCTGGCTCCTCCTGCATTACGGGGGAAAATGCAGCACCCAAACATTGAGCTAAACAGAAGAGGCTCCAAGCCAAAACAGAGTTAAGAGCCCAGTCAATGTGGGGGTTATGCTTGACCAGCCAGGTGTGTCCCAAAACCACTGTAGTGGTGGGCGAGTGGATGAAGAGGAACCGGATCTCCTCAGCATGATTGCCGGAAAGTGTGTGTGTGACAAACTTAGTGGCACGGGTAATACTGGTGAGAAGGGTGCTGCAAAGTGTTCTAGCCGATATAGGCTCGGCCAGGGCAACAGACGAAATTCCCAAGCATGTGGCCATCCCGGAATCCATGAAATCGTCCTCCGCTCCAGAGTCGATCAATGCAGACACCTGATGAGCAGTCCCATTAAAAACAGTAATGAGACTTGGAACTCAGAACGACCACCAGAGGGCAGTCAAGTACTAGTGACGCTCACCGTACGCGCTCCCTTGAGGGGTGAGCACCGCCTCGCTGCCGGGTACGAAACTGCCACATGACCTGATTCCCCGATGTAGAGACACAGTTGATTGTCCAGGCGATAACGTCGCTCCCTTACAGTCAGCCATGCTCTCCCGACCTACATTGGCTCCTCCTCCGGGAAAACGAGACTTTGGGAAGGCGTGTCACTCGCTGCTCCTCACGCAGCTCTAGTGACGGGCTCAGGAGGAAACACGCTCCTCCGACGTCGAGAACGGAGAGCAAGGTCGATCAAATCATCCAGGTTAGAGGGCAGTTTGAGAGAATAGATCTCATCCTTGATGTATTCGGCCAGACCATGGAGAAAATGGTCCCAGAACGCCTTAGCATTCCAGCCACAGGACGAGGCGAGCATACAAAACTCAATAGAGTACCCGGATACCGATTGCTCTCCCTGCTGTAGCAGCAACAAAGCTTGTGCCGCCTCGGTTCCTCGAGCAGAGTGATCGAAAACCTTGCGTAGCTCCTCCAAGAAACTCTCAAACGAAGAACAGCAGTGATGTTTGTTATCCCACATAGCCGTTCCCCACTCTCTCGCTTGACCCACCAAGAGCGTGATGTAAATGCCACCTTGGACTGCTCCGTGGGAAAACAGGAAGGCTGGAGCGAGAAAGTCAGAGAGCATTGGGATAAGAAGGAGCAACATGTGTTAGGCTCACCCGAGTATGGAGCAGGAGGATTGAGCCGCGGCTCAGCATGACGGAGAACGGCTCCATCGGGGTCGGGAGAAGGTGTTACAACTCGGGCAGCGTGAGGGTTAGTCTGCAGCTGATCAAGCCACTCTGCCAGCTGGTTGAGCTGGAGAGAGATCTCGGCGTAGGCACGGCGAGAAGCCGCGAGTTCATCCTGTTGCCGACCCAGAAGAGCACCCTGCTGCACAAGGGCTCGGTGCAACTCTGTCTCCTCTGCTGTGTCCATGACATGGTGAGTAGATTCTGTCAGGTCCCCAGGATAAAAGAGGACTCAAATGCAGAGAAGTAGGTGAAAAACAGAGATTTATTTCTCACAAGGCAAAACCAAAACAATAGAACAATCACAAAAACAGCAAACTAGTCCTTGGGGACTCCAGAGCCAGCCGGCAGAGTAATGCGGACCTCACAGGCTGTGGAAGCTGTCCCAGACCCAGCATTCGCACAGGACAGGTGACCAGAGAGATAGCGAGGCAATGAGCGGCTGTCTCTCCTCACTAAGTGTCCTGGGGTACAGTGAAACAAGGGAAGTGCTTGAATAAAAGCACTGATAACAACGTGAACACGGAACACACCAAACAATCTACTCACAAGGAAGGACAAGAAAGCAGAAGTTATAAAGGAAGAGCGGAACAAGCGACAGGTAAAGGAGAAACAGCTTGTGATCTGTGCACCCCTGCCGCAAGATCAGCGCTGATTTCCCAGGTCACGAGCTGCCGAAAATGACGGGACAACACTCAATGAGGCACCCTGAACAGTGACATTAACTAAACTTATTTAGATTTAATGTCATAAGGATTTTTAAGTAATTTTCAAAATATTTTACACATTACCTTAAAGACAACATGAAATTTATTTTGATTTTAAAGAAAAATAGGTCTTTCCAATCAAATTTCAGTGGGATAAGATAAGTCCCGCCCCACATTTTGTCTTGATGATCGTCTATTTTACTCTAAAGTAAACTATTACAGTTAAATACTTTTAGATGCTGTTTTTGTGTTGTCTTTAAGTTTCATTGGTACATTTATGCTTAAAGGAGCACTAAGTATCCAACCATAGTGGGCCTAACTGTAGTAAATGTCTACTTGTAGTGTACTTCAAATCTTAAAAGTTTGTAAAAACTGTGCTTGTAGATAATAAAATATTAATATAATAAAAGGCCACTTAAAGGCACAATATGTAATTTTTCGCCGCTAGAGGGTGCGTATTCAAAACAAACAAGAAACAAAGGTGTAGTTTGATGACGCCGTTACTGAGTGTGGAATCATGGGAGTTGTCGTCTTCATCCCCACAGCCGACGCAATCCGACGGGACTCGGGCAGAAATCATGTTCATGGATGAGCTAATGATTTATTAGCATAGTAGAAAAAAGCAGGGTGAGGCTGAAAGCCGTCGAAGCGAAACGAGGCCGCTGAACGAGCGTGACACACGGCTCGAAAGCAGCGGAGCTTTTATTATGCCACAGTCGACCATTTCCGCTCCTTCCGGTCGTGCGTATGTGGGGGAAAAAAGCAGCGTTGTTTTATCATACTAGATCAGTGCTTCCCAAACCTGTCCTGGAGGACCCCCTGCCCTGCACATTTTGTATGTCTCCCTAATCAGACACACCCAATTTAGTTCTTGCAGTCTCTACTAACGAGCTGATGAGTGGATTTGGATATTTTAATAAAAAAATCTTGCATATTGTGCCTTTAAGTGTACTTAAAGAGGGTACACCTTCATGACTGTTTCTTAACACACTTAAAAAGAGCATTTTGTAATTTTCAAATCAAGTTTTACTTTTAAGTACATTTTAAATCTTTGTTTTATCATTTTTGTCATGCTCTAAAAAAGTACACTTAGTTTTATGTGCTGACGAACATACTAAAGTACACATTTTAAGCATATAAAATTATGAAACTATAATGCATATTTATTTTAATTGCAATTAAAATACAATTTACGTATGTCCTACATTTAACATTCATTTCTCAAGTAAAGTATATTATTTAAAAAGTATGCTAAAAATGTACTTTAGCATGTACTACTTTTCAAGGGGTAGTGAGATTTTATTGGTCAGTAATATGTCTTCATTTAATGTGATTCTAAATTACTATAATCATATTAGTTAAAATGGTATTCATGGTATTCTGTGGAAAATTTACTTTACTAGTATATATTTGATGTAACAGATGTTATTTTGTACAGACTGCTGAATCATATAGATGGACACAGGAATTATTAAAGCAGAACGTATAGTATGGAAAAGGGAAGCAACTACATGCAATTCATTTCAGCAAAGTGCACATCCAGAGTCAATCATTCCAGCAATGCAGCAGATTTGACCTAGAACAGGACCTGCAATCTACTGTAGATGCGGCAATGAAAAGGCTACATGTTCAATCTTTGGTATTTTAGCAGTGATGTTGTTAGCCATGTGTGATAGCTTTGGCCAAGCAGCATGAAATATTAGCAGCAGCTACAGAGAAAAGACCGAACCAGACAATTTATGTTAATAATTCCTCCCCGCCATGAGCATTAAGTGTTTAGCCTTGTCATTAGCATAGCCCACATGTCCGAACAAGAGGAAGATGGCAACATGGCTGAATACCTGAGTCAGTGGTTTTTGAGTTATGCTTTTGTTTGTATCTGTCTGAAACAGAGGAGACACAAAGCAAAAGAGGAGACAGAAAAAAAAATACAGGAAGTAAGTTACATTCAAAGAGGCCTCTGGAACCCAAAGTAGCTCTAGTATCTCCTCGGGTAGTCACATGCTTTTGATATTATAACAGGCCACCATGCCAAGATGAGAAACACAGGCAGATACCATATGAAAAAAATGAAAGATATTTTTTAGGACTCAAAGTAGGACAGTCAACAACAGTATATGCAAAATAGTTCAAATCCCATGATTAAAACAGAGGTCAGAGACAATAAACATTCATTATTTTATTTGACAGCAGTGTGGAATAAAAAATAAACACTACAATTATAAACATACTAATTTATACTAATATTCAGTGGGGTCCAAAAATCCTCTAGGGTCTCATTATCTGCATTTCAATTAATTTAAGTGAAAAAAGGTAAAGAATGTCAGAAGTTTGCTCATTTGATTAATTGTAAATATTTCTAATTCATTCATTTTTTTAAATTTCCTCTGAATTCAATTTTTTTTTTTTATAAGTAAAAAAAATCAGTTTTTGAAAAGCCTCAGACTTTTGGACACAAATACATAATGCCAAATTAGGTAACAGATTATTTTTTTCCTAATTATTTTTTCTCTTTCTCTGCAGTTCAAATGTATACAAAATGATATATCTATTTCAAGTTGCTTAGACTTTAAGGCACAAAGGTTGCATATGAAAGCAATGAAATTGACACTTACTGTCACACACGTAGGGTTTATCCTGATCGTCGTTGGCCACTGCTTCTGTTCGCCTGCGCCCAGAGCCTCGACCCTAAATAACAGACATTATATAATCACTTTCTTTTTGTTTAGATCATTTCTCATTCATCTTTTCTTAGTCTCTGCACACACCATAAGTCAGAGAGATCAACACAAGTTTTTCTTTTTCATGTTTTATTTCCCTCTCCCGTGTCAGTCCGTCCTGTCTCAAGCTGTCTCTTTTTCTTGCTCTCACTTGCCTTTTTTCCTTCACACCATCCACAGACTTTGAGGAGTCATGCTCATCACTCACCCTGCCTTTGTTTCGATGCTTCCTCTTTGGTGTGTCCACTTCAAAATCTTCATCGTCATGGAAACCATCCCCATTTTCATCTGCCTCAAGCACCCTCTGCAGAGAATGAAGAAAGTTGGGGTAAGCGATTAGATGACTAAGATCAATGCACTGCACAAGAAAAGACAATAGTGTGCATATAGAGAGAGCGGAGAAATTTATTGCCATATATGGTCAATGGGGTCCTTAAAACGCTGGCATTTCGTGGCAACATAGTATAAGAAACAGTAAAAGTGATTTTTTTTTTATAAGTGGGTCATTGAATTATTCATTCAACCGATTCATTCAAAGATGCTGATTCATTCAGGAATGAAACAGCACCTACTGTGTGTTGCTTCTCCTGTGGCTTTGCTTGAAAGCATAAACAGATAATGTAACTGGCACAATTGGGTTTAAAATGCAAGTTAACTTAATATTAACTTCTATTCAACTATTGTATGAAAACAAGATTATACTCGCAGTCGTGCATTTTCTTGAATATAATATTTGGGTACAACATCTCTCTTGCTTGTGTGATATTGTGAAAATATATAGTAATGTGAAGTGCATTGTGTAGAAAGCATGCTGCAGTTTGTATTTTTTCGAGTCTAGTGGACCTTGCCCTAATAATGCGGTATTGTTTGCCAGAAGGTAGGAAGCAAAACAGCTTGCGGCTGGGGTGGATGGGGTCTCAGATGATGGATTGGGCTTTACAGCGACAGTGAATGGTGGATATCGCTGACTGATGGAAGATTGCATCTTAAAATGCTCTGTGCCATCACCTTAAAACTTTGCAAAGCATCTCTGTTGGGTTTGGTAGTATTTTTGAACCATACAGTAATGCAGCTAGTAAAGAAACTTTCCATGGTGCTAGAAGTTTGAGAGGTACGGTTTCCCCATGCAAGTTTTATGATATATTTTTACATTAGATGTCAAGTGGCACACCAACCAAAACCAAAATGATTATTTATCAAACAAAAGTAACTGAAATATATTTATATCAAGCATTAAAGGCATAGTTTACCCAAAAATGAAAATTCTGTCATTACACACCCTCATGTCATTCCAAAATCGATTAGATATTTTCGAGCTACGAGAATACATTTTGTGCGCAAAAGAGAACAAAAATAACGACTTTATTCAACTATTTCTTCTCTTCCGTTTCAGTCTTCGATGCACATTAACAACAGCCAATTTATTGATTAGTATTAGCCATTTTACCAAATGAATGAAATGTATTTTCACCAAAACACTGTAGAGTTCTACACAACAAAAGGGAAGTTGGAGGTATTTTACACTTTTAAAAGCTGATAGGCCTATTTATTTTGCCTGAAAAGTCCTAATTATTCATGATTATATAGTTAGTTACATTTGTGACCCTGGACCACAAAACCAGTCTTAAGTGTCAATTTGTCAAAATTGAGATTTGTACATAATCTGAAAGCTGAATAAATAAGCTTTCCATTGATGTATGGTTTGTTAGGATAGGACAATATTCGGACAAGATACAACTATGTGAATATCTGGAATCTGAGGGTGAGAAAATCGCCTTTAAAGTTGTCCAAATGAAATTCTTAGCAATGCATATTACTAATCAAAAATTAAGTTTTGATATATTTACGGTAGGAAATTTACAAAATATCTTCATGGAACATGGTCTTTACTTAATGTCCTAATGACTTTTGGCATAAAAGAAAAATCAATAATTTTGACCCATACAATGTATTTTTGGCTATTGCTACAAATATACCCGTGCTACTTATGACTGGTTTTGTGGTAAAGGGTCACATTTTATTATTTGTATATTATTGTTTTTTTTTATTTTTGGTTCGTGACCCAGCGATTGAAAACCATTCTGTAAGTCTGACACTGACTCTTAATACATTATCGTGCATGTCCAAACCAACTGGAGCTGGATGTGATACCTGGATTTCCAGTAGTGTTTCTTCCTCTTTGGAGTTATTGTTCCTCTTGTCCAAGATCCCATCACCTCGTAACAGTGCCTCCAGGGCCGTGGCCTCCGTCGCTGGGGCTTCTCTCTTGGCCATCAGCTCAGCCTCTGAACATAAAGACGAAAGAAGTAGAAAATGAGAATGTCTGGTAAACAGCCAGTAGAAGCAACTTCTTTGAACCTCTCGTCCATAAAAATGAGGTCCAATAGTCTGAGGCAAATTATATTACTTGCATAATATTTTGTGAAAATGTGTGTTGAAAAAATTGTAATACATTACTTAGTATGTGGTATTTCTGTGTTTCTATAGGTTTCTTATTATTTCCAGGTTTAAATAAAACCTCAGATTAAAATTCCAGATTTTTTCCCAGATTATGGACCCCACTGTATATCTACTGTAAATAAGAGGTACAATCAGATAGAGAGACAGTGCATTGAATCACTTTTCTGAAGTCACTTCATGAAGGCATCGGTTTCACACAGGCAGACAGATTTTGTGTGTGTGTGTGTGTGTGTGTGCTTTCCACCATAAATTTGGGTAGATTTCTTGGACACACCAGCCATCAATATGTTTTTATAGGGTGGATAGCTTTTCAAGGCTCATTAAAGGTGAGAAGCTCCAGGTGCTGAAGATAAAATGGAGGATGTGTGTGTATGGAGGAGAAGGCGGGAGAAAGCTGTGTCTCATTTCCCTCCCTATATCTTTATGATGTGAATTGGTATATCATAAAATTACTATCGAGCACTAGCAATGGTCTGGATCCACTAAGTATTTGGACATTTGTGACTCATTTACATATGGCATAACAGCAAGATCATGCATTCAAACATAGCTGAATCTGATATTTTCAACATTGCTATATCCATCTTATTTTGCAACATGGAAGTAAGCTATTTTCTTATGAATAAGGAAAATAAAGAGGATATGCATCATGCATTTGTTGTTAGCTGTTTAAATGCACAGTGCCATTATGAAGTATGTGCTTGTCTTGCATTTTTGTTAATCAAGCAAAACTGATTATGTATACATATATTACCTTTCAAACATAAAACAATTCTAATAAAGCAAGAGACAAAATACTTACAATAATATACAATATAAATATCAGTAGTACCTTAGGAAAAAATATGCATATAGGCTACTACTGTTAAAACGTTTTGGGGACAGTAAGATTTTTGTTGTTGTTGTTTTTGAACAAATTTAAGAGGGCAGCATTTTTTTTATTACCAATACAGTAAATCAGTAATAATGTGAATTATTATTACAATTGAAAATAACTGTTTTCTATTTCAATATATTTTCAAATGTAATATATTCTTATGATGGCAAAGTTGAATTTTTAGCAGCCATTACATCAGTCTTCAGAAAATGTCTTATTATTATCATCATTGAAAACAGTTGTTCTGCTTAATATGTTTGAGGAAACTGTGATATTCTTAAGATTCTTTAATGAATAGGACGTGCAAAAGAACAGTGTTTATTTGAAATATAATTTTTGTATAGGAAATTATGATCCGCACTCACAAGAACAATCTTCTTTTTTCTTTTATTTTACATTCATTTCTGATGGGAAAAGACACAAACGTTTCGGCTCAAAGCCTTCCTCAGTGTGTAAAGCAATTCAATCCCTCCACCCACTTTTCAAATCACTAATTATATTGACGTCATCATTCATTAGCCAATGTTCAATTACCACAATCATTAAATCATTTCCATTTAAATTCTGGACAATTTACATATATAATATTACATATTACAAATATAATTTTTGTAACATTGATACTGTATTTATTGCTGGCCTAATAAATATATTAATTTCTTTATACATTTTTTTTTGGTCTTCTTTGTCTTTACAGCACATGAGGAACATCTGATGTTCACTGGTTGTTACCGTGCATTCTGGGTAGGGAGTGAACGTTTCAGTGCAGTGGAACCATTTTGACAATGGAAAGCCTTAGAAATGGATGACTCTCTGAGAAGTGCACTTATTGGTAAACTAAGAAGTGGATTAAAACACACCCTTAGGTCTGTCATAACATTTGAATTGTTTTCTGATCTATAATCTGCATCGGTGGAGTTAAAGTGTTCCCAGAAGCTGTGGTTTCTGATGGCCATATCATGTGTTTGCTGTAAGATGCTCCTACTCAGTATGTGTGTACATGATTGAGCATGTTTTTATGAATCTCTGTCCTTGTCTTTATTCTCTTTGTGTCTGATTGAGCCGAGACACACTCTTCCCCTGGGAGAGGAGCTGAAAATAGCGCAGACTGCCAGTCAGGGGCTGATTGCAGCCGCCCATCCCCCGTTTTCAGCCGCCAATCATGAACAAGAGGCTAAGAGAGGTTGATGTCTACAGACACAAATCATAAGGTCTTAATCATCGCAATATAATACAGCACTGCAATATTTATGCATGCCATTAAATCACAAGATTGGCACCGAAAAGGCATGCGCTGACTGGAAAGACTACGTACTGCTTTTAATTAAGAATTTAGCAAGATCACTCTGAGGAGTCCATTTCACATGGCAGCTGTAGGGCATAATGAATATATCAGTTTACTGAGATGCAGCTATTTGGTGTTGTCATAGTGGCGTGATTATATAGCAGACAAAACAGCCTGATTGAATCAGTTTATTGAATTAGAGGCTGTTCTACATGCCATATCTGCCGTGGAGAAAAAGACAGCATATGAAGATTTACATTGGAATTGAGCTTGCTTGCTTGTCGTTATGAACAAGGCTTGGATGGGATATTGGACACCAAACCTGTTTACAGTGGCTGAGCACCCAGAAATGTACAACACAAACACATTTCAGACAGGAAGCGTAGGAACCATGTCCTGCTGTAACAGAGCAGAATTATGCCTCGTTATAGTGTAAATATACGATTCCAGGACTCTGGAAAACACATAACTTAAAGGGCTAGTTCACTCAAAAATTATGTTATTTACTTATATTCATGTTGCTCCAAAGCCGTTTAACTGACTTTCTTCTGTGCAACATGGCGTTTAGTGCAGAGACTACTTTTATGCTGTTTTTACATCTTGAATTTAAGCTCCAGTCCCGATAACTGCGGTTTGGGGTCAGTACTTTTTTTTTTTCTTTTAAAAAAAAATCAATGCTTTTATTCAGCAAGGATGCATTAAATTGATCAAACGTGACAGTAAAGACATTTATAATGTTACAAAAGATATTGTATTTCAAATAAATGCTGTTCTTTTTAACGTTCTACTCATCAAAGAATCCTGAAAAATATCTATCATGGTTTCCACAAAAATATTAACTGTTGAAAATGATAATAAAAAAGCTTTTTGAGCACACATTAGAAGAATGATTTCAAAAGGATTATTTGACACTGAAGACTGGAGTAATGACTGCTGAAAATTCAACTGTGCCATTACAGGAACAAATTATATTTTAAACTATATTAAAATAGAAAACATTTCTTTTCAATTGTAATAATATTTCATAATATTACTGTTTTTAACTGTATTTTTAAGCAAATACATACAGCCTCTGTTAGCATAAAAGACTTTCAAAAACATGAAAATATCTTAGCGACCCCAAACATTCACACGTTAAGTGTATATTCTTCAAAATTTCAGAAGAAGGACACAGAAGAAAGAGAGTCATACAGCAATGAGGGTGAGTAAATAATGACAAAACCTTCATTTGTGCATGAACTATCCCTAAGAGTAGACTACAATGCATCTTAAATATTCATCAAAATTCATTAAAATGTCTGAATGGCTCAGGAGAGCAGTCGTGTGACTTGAGGTGAGCTTTTGAGGGGTTAATTGCGGATCCTGCATGACACTTGGTAGGAGTTATTTTGTCATTCAAATCCTTCTTCTGATATCTGCGTTATTGGAAAGCAATCACACTTTACTTAAGGCCTGAATCAGTTTTATTCACTGTTTTTGCTGAACTCATGCTGGCTGAGCTCCAAGTGAAGGTCAGGGGTTCTTATATTGCTTTACTGCTATTGTATTTCCAGTGACAGCTAAGAAAATAATACAGTGGCTTTCTTGTTGACACAGACAGGCCTTTATGTGCCTTTATCGAGTTCTTCAAGCCCTTCTGTAGCCCTCCATCAGTCCCCAAGACTTACATTCTAATGCTGCATGGCCAAATGATTAAAGGGGCCCGGTCAGGGCACACACAGACACAGAGAAGGATAATGAGACCCAGATGGGCCAGTTCTACAGCCTCTGAATGACCTTACAGCAAAGAAGCACGGATGGAGAGAGAAAAGAGCAGCAAGAAAGAATTCAAAACCAAAATGTAAGCTTGAGAGAAATCACACAATTAGCCACAACCATGATCTCACCGAGTCGAAGTTCACAAAGGCGAAGCTGGGGGTCAAGTGGCGGGTGAAGTCGCCTCTTCTTTCTCCAGCAACGCGCTGGGTAGGTGTACATCTGACCTGCTGCCAACCCTGCAATCAGACAGTAGTAGCACGGCTTGAATTGGCTCTTTCACACATTCTTCATATAAGCCCTATTTGGATGGGATTATTTTTGTAGACAATGTTTAGGTTGAAATTAATAATGGAGGATATGTGTAATTTCATATACCAGTTTGGATTAGAATCTATTGTCTGGATGTGAATGTTATGAGATGTCAAGTGCTCTTAGGTTGAAGAAAATTATTTAAAAAAAAACGGCAGAAATTAACATTTTTTTTAAAAGAAGTCTCTTATGATCAACAAGGCTGCATTTTTTTTATAAAAATATAGTAAAAACGTAATTATTGTGAAATAATATTACAACTTATAATAACTGTTTTCTATTTTAGTATATTTCAAAATTTAATTTATTTAGGTGAAGGCAAATCTTAATTTTTAGTAGCCATTACTCCAGATAACATAACAACAACAAAAAACATTTCTTATTTATATAAATGTTAAAAGCAGTTACTGCTTAATATTTTTTTTTTTCTGATTCTTTGGCGAATAGAAAGTTCAAATGAAAAGCATTTATTTGAAATAGGAATGTTTTGTGACATTATAAATGTCTTCACTGTCAATTTTGCTGAATAAAATAATTGATTTCTTTAAAAAAAATAAATCTTACTGATCCCAAACTTTTGAAGAACAGTGTATATAAATGTCAATTTTCACTTGCAGGCATCACTCTGAGAAACACAAAACTAGTCTTATCTGGATAGAGCTTTAGACACAAGAACTTGAATAAAACATCTTAAATGAAAATGCTGGCCTCAGGGGTTTTCACAGGGCCATTCTCTCTGATTGTAACTCCTGTAACATTATGTTCTGTGCAGTTACATAGATCTGTGGGGTACATGGTCTTAGTTACTCGTCTATCCAGTCTCTTAATGGCGAAATAGAGGAATTGAGAGCAAGAAAAAACCCAGAATAAAATAACATCCAATAAACACTGGTCTACCACAAAGTGTAGGGTGTGGCTATGGAGCTTTTAGTTGCGAGGCACTGACTCTATTTGTGTCCGGTTCTCGGCAGGCATATTGTTCCCTTTGGCAGCTGTATGTCTAGATATTGGCTGTTTTGGTTAGATAATAAGGAAAGGAATGCTGTGGAAAGACTAGAGACATACTTCTGTCCCATTACATTGAATAGAGCAATGCATTGTTTAACATGTTACAAACTTACAATTTCCTAAACACTTGTACGCTGTATAAACACACACCAACACATATAGTTTAATTGCACTCTCTGTGCTTTAAAATGAAATTCATCAGTCTTTATCGTTAAATCAAGCTGCAATTTAAGTGGATTTTAAAATCGAAGTGTACACTGCCAAAGTCCAACTTATCCAAATGCCTGTGGTGAGAAAAAAAAACTGTACAACGACTGGACATGATGCAGTTTACCAATTTTAAACATTTGGTTAGACGACTGTGTCTTGAGACGACAGCACCCTACAAACCCCTTCATCCAATTTGTAGTTCATTTAATGCACATGAACACATATGCAATATAAGTAAAATATTGCTGATATATGTTAAAACACCGCTCCTCTTCATTAAAAGGAGAGTTCACCCAAAAAATCTTTTACTCACTGTCGTGTCATCCCAATCTCATATGACTGACTGACTGTTAAGCTCCAAGAACACAAAAACACACACACACACAAAATAAATGAATAAATAAAAAATCACACCAAAAAAAAAAAACATAAAATTGCAATTTTACCATTCAATAGTTCTCAACAGAAACGGGCTGAAATTTAACCCTTTATTCAGTGATAATCCTACCGTCCACTGAGCTGTTAATTAAAAAACCACCGTGACCAGATCAGTCATTGAATTCATAAACAAATCAGTCTTGTTAAACATTCACTTTGTTGAAAAGAGTGATTCATTCACTTACACAGTTGTCAAGTTTAACTTTCAGTCAGTTCCTCACATAAAGTTACTGTATGGTGGACCACTTATTTATTTATCGTTTTAATAAATGTATACAAGTCTTATAATATTATTATATAACAATTATTATATTTGTATATAAGCCTTGTATGTGTTTTGCTATACATAATATAATATAATATAATATAATATAATATAATATAATATAAAGCACACCTCGCTTTTCTGAACGATGAGCTTTGTAAAAATCGACGCGTTTCAGAAAGGCGGGGCAGAGAGGAACAACAATAATGTACAGTATGTGGAAAATAATGTGGTTTTTGAACCTTAAACCGTGTAAACACATTGCATTACACCAAAAATAATGTTATTAGAATAAAATGATGTTATAGCATCGTCATATGACCCCTTTAACAGACTGTGAACAATCACTGTATAAAAAAATACCACTTTTTTTGTGAAGACTCTTAACAAATATGTATTTTTCTCTTCCACAAAAAAATAAATAAAATGTATAATAATAAAAAATAATAACAGCATACAGGTTTGTAACAATATGAAGGTAAGTTCTTAATAAAATAATTTAATTTTTTTGGTCAACTTTTTATTCTGAATCTTTTTAACGTTAATGTTATTTTAAAGGTAAATGCAGAACGTGCTACCTGGCCCTCGGTGCCGCTTCTCCATCCAGATGTAACAGTTGTTCTGGGCTACGCCCGTCTGAGAGTCCAGGAAGGGCATGCGTACGCTGCGCTCCGCACACAAGCGGGCATTGTAGCTGCGACAGTGCTCAATGGCCTCCCTGTAGAACTGGTCCCCGAGCCTGAGGAAGACACAATTGGTGAGGAAACCTGGTTTTAGCATAAACCATGCCAGCCTGTACTAGTGTGGACCTTCAACTAGTAATTAATAGTATCCAAATACCTCATTGCAGGCTAAACTTCCATACGTTAGTCAGACTACGAAGACGTTACGTTTTAAAGAGCCTGCTTTGGAAAAGATAGGGCTATTTCTGTTGGCTAATACCACTGCAGATCAATACAGCTTCAAGTGTTTTGTGCTGTTGAGCCTCTGGGTCATGCTTTCTGTTCACAATTCACTTTCCCACAGTGTTATCCATGTCATTCTCTAGGTAGTCAAAAGGCACAGAGATGTGACTACTAACTTCCAAACAGAAAGACAGAAGAGACACTGGACCTGAGCCAGCCTGCATGGCTTCTCTCCCCATAACTGCCTCCTGTTTCGATTAGATCACTCTTCTCTGGACTAGAGGATACACAGATATGTGAGGAATGCTGGGCTGGACAAAGAGGAGTATTCCAACCCAGCATATAGTGACACAAAGAGCCTCAGTGTTTGGAGGGAGCAGGAGAGAAAAAGAGCAGGCAGGTATGAAAAGCAAAGGCCTGAGAAAGACAAATGAGACAACTAACATTTGATAGCCTAGTCTACTCTCAAAAGTAGCTTTGAGAATTGAGAACCAGTTCTTATTTAGAACCATTTCCATTCAAATAAAACTGTTACCGTTCTGGAACATCTGTAAATATGAGCAGAAACAGTTTATGACCCTCATGTCATTCTCATGTCATTCCAAACCTGTGACTCTTTCTTTCTTCTCTAAAACACAAAAGAAGATATTTTGAAAAACAATGCAGTCCACTGTTGTTTTGGACTAGTGCTGTCACGATATCAGATTTTTACTACACAATTATCCTGGCCAAAAGAATTGACAAGAGCAATATTATTGCGATATCCATATAAATTCTGGGAGGAAAAAAATGCTATCAGTAAAATTTATCTTTAACTTTGTTTATTCTGTGTTTTTTTTCTCTCTTTTTTTTTTTTGCCTAATGAATCACACTCAAAATATGTGTATGGAGGTGGAGTTTGTGACCAATAACTATACAAATGCATACCAAAAAGAAAAGAAAAAATCACACTTGTTTTGTTTTTGTTTTTTACAGGATTCAAAAAACTCTTATCTTTTTTCCGTTTTATGATGGGTAGTAACCAGTGTGTTACGAAACCAACACTGACTAATTTGGAAACTGGTTGGAGTGTCAACCAGTTTCCAAATTTCAAATACTAATTTCCAATTTAGTTATAGTTACAGTATTACTGTATGTATAGTATTATTAACACAAAATCTATATTTCACTTTTAAAATATCACAGTCAATACCGATATATTGCAACACCCCTATTTTGGACCCCATTGGCTTTCATTGTTTCTGAAAACATTATTAAATTCATTAAATTCCTTATGTTACCAGTCTCTACCCAAAAGACACTGAGAACAGTATCATCTCCCAAATCAGCTGTTGAATTCTTGATTCTTTTCGTCATTCATCTCGAAAACCTCCAGATTACATCTACATTTCTTCCTTCCTCCAGCATTCACTATATTGCACTGCACCCTTTTTCCTGGGCTTCCTGTGAGCATTATTTCCCTGAAACGAAATGCCTGTGCTATCAGCTGGAGACTGCAGGAGTCATTATGTAAGTCGCAGTGACAGAGGCCCGCATTAGAGCGCCCACGACCTACCATAATCATCAACATGCTCCACTGGACTAAACGGCCCTGATGGCTCTCAACTCAAGTTTCCTCTCAGAGCCGATCTATAACTAGATATAGTTATATCCATAACTATATATCCAATATATAGTATAACTAGTTATATCCAAAACCATAACAGCCCCTAGAGATGACAAGTGCTTACCAACGAGCGGCTGATGATGACGGTGTCTATCAGCACCATCTTAAGGAGAGAGCTTGTGTGTGGACACCACGCTTCATACAGCCTCCCCCATACAAAACCTCTACTATAAACATACCGTGTGTTCACGGCCTCCTGTATTACACTCGAGGCAAGGACTCTGGTCAACAGAGTGGAGCAGTTATGTAAACAGTTAGACTGGCGTGTTGGAAGACACGTATTCTCTCTGCCACCTCCCTGGAGGCACGGATGAAGAGAGCCTCTTGAAGGTTGTTGAGATCTTCACTCTTTTAATGTCGATTAGGAGAATAGAAGGGATGTTTATTAAATCTGTCACAGTATTTGATTTTCACAACCTCAAGAGCATGAAGCTACTATAGACGATGCATGTTTTACAAGTGTTTGGTCAGGAAACAGAAATGTGACTTTGGTGAAGTAAAATCCTTTAACTTTGAAAGTGAAAGGTTAAAGCTGGGCTTCTCACAGTCTTTGTGAGCTCACCAAAATTGTGGGATGGTACGACATTGGAATGTTTTAGAGTAAACATTCAGCTAGGTGTCATAACAAGGCATTTTGGATTTCAATTCTTCTGTAAGCTGAGAGGTTTTAAAGATATGTAGACCAGTGCAAAACATCTACAATGCATGATGAACGGAAAAAGCCTAGACCTTAATTTTGCACAGATTATGTTGTTAATTGTTAAAGAAGTCAATCAAACAAATGAAATCACCAAACAAATATTACTGAATTGAAAGAAAGAAAGAAAGAAAGAAAGAAAAGAGCGAAACTCCTTTTTTTAATTGCTTGATTATTCATTCTAAAATATTATTAAATATTATGTGTTCAATACACAAAATGTGAAACTTTTTATTATTTTTGCATTTTGATAAAATAACAAATAATAATCCTTATACTGCAACAATGAAAATATGATTATCTTCATTTTTATAATTACCGGTTTAATAATAATAATAATTAGATTCAATCATTTGTTCTTGTTATTTATGCATAATTTCAACTCTGTATATTTATACTCAATAAAATATTTAATATTAAATAAATTCTCATTATAAAATGATCATTATTATTATTATTATTATTATTAAAAATATCTTACTTTATTACTTTGTTTTTGCATTTTGACACAATAATAATAAAAAATTATACTGAACAATAAAAGCATTATCTTATTTTTATTCATAATAATGGTAACTATTATTGCATTTCTGGTTGTGTTATTCATGTTATTCATGTTATTATTTTCATATTTTATTATTTCCACATTACTAGAGATTTATCAAGATTGTTGTTACTATATATTATATGATATAAATTATTAATAATAATGTTTCTTGAGAATAAATGGTGGCACTGATTGTTAGACACAATACCTGATTTAGAAGAATAATATATATTTACATTCATGCATTTGGCAGCTTTTGTCCTTTACAGACGCTTTATTCTTTGAGCTACAAGAAGGCTAAAAAAATTCAGAAGAGTATATAGGAATAAATAGGGAAAATACACTGAAAAGCAGCAGACAATATGTTCTCATTGAGAGGTAGAGCAAAGAAAATGAGCTGCAGTGCAGACTAAACATTTATTCAGTCTTCACAGATCCAATTCAAATGCATTTGTAAACAACCGTTTTTCTATCAGCCTGTTTTAGCCTCGATGAAAACTGTAAATGAACCTTCTGCACTGAGCCATGTGCTTTGTGCTTGGGCTGCTCTTAGGAAATTAATACCTATTCTTTATTCAACAGAGCAGAGCTGCGGCTCATTCACAGTTGTGTGTGTAACTCAGAGGCTGGAGGCCCCTTTACTCAGCCAGCGTCTATATTCATATTACTCGAACAACAGGGGTGTCTCCTTTGTGTCTCAAAAGAACATAGCCACATTTCTTAAGGATGTAGAAGATGTCTTTCATATTCAAATGACCCCTTTTAGTTTGATTTAATCCGAATGGTCTCTCTAAGGACAGGTGTCCATGAATAATCATTGGCTTAGGTAGGCGTTGCTCTGAGAATTGTTGTTCGTTTTCAAATACATATGCATACCGTCGTGATAATCAGCACTGCATTTCAATTAGACACGTGCTTTGTAAACTGGCTCTCCAAATGTGATTAAGCTTTCATTAGTTAACACAGACCAGCACAGAGACGTCTTGTCTCGAAGCACTTCCTTAGGAAGCTTTTCATCAGTGCGATCTGCTTTCACCGAAATGCTGTTTCAGAATTTTTTTTAATATGGCTTTCTTGTTCAAATCACCTACTCATTCACAAATCTCACTACAAATGCTTCATCATAAGTCCAGATTTCCAGATGAAGTGCGCCATTTTTTTGTTAAACACAGCAACATTTGGCTCAACCAATGGTGCTAATTTGGGGGCGGGGCTTTCTGTGATGATCTGTTTGCTACATCACCTCTAAACCTCTTCAAAACCTCTCACTTTAAAGTAAACCCCCTCTCCAAACAGAATAAGCATTTTAAGTGATTGTATGGGTATTTTAAAACAAGTCTGTGGTGCACTGGAGGATAGGAAGGTGCTGATATGAATAGGGATTTGCGCTCCAGTGTATAGTGAGAAGAGAGAGTGATCCATCACAGTCAGGCTCTTTTCTGTGTGTCTATGGGGAGATGAAGAGGCTGAAAACAGAAGCTCTAGTCTCTCTCTCTCTCTGAACACCCAGGGCACTGAGTGCACCACATTCACTATACATGCCTGTTAATCCAATTGACCATTAATTACTGGGGCTACGTTTGCCATACCAAAAAGCATTGATCCTCTACAACAGAATTTAGGCATTTAACAATGTAGCTTCAATTAATTTTAATCATTAGGTTTCATTTTTTGTTTAATGGCATATAAACCATACCTAGACCATTTTTACTGTCATTTTTAGCACTACATGGGATATCGGGACCATGTCATTCCAAACCCATAAAACCGTTGTTCATCTTCGGAACACAAATTAAGATATTTTGATGAAATCCGAGAGCTTTCTCACCCTCCATAGACAGCAATGTTACTGAAATGTTCGCATGCAGGCCCAGAAAAGTATATCGTTAAAATAGTCCATGTGACATCAGTGGTTCAACCATAATATTATGTAGCTATGAGAATACTTTTTGTGCGCAAAGAAAACAAAAATGAGAGAAAAAAAAAAAGGTTTGGAACGACATGAGAGTGAGTACTTGATGACAGAATTTTCATTTTTGGGTGAACTACCCCTTTAATATTGGAAATATATACTGTTCAGAAGTTTGGTCGGTAAGATATTGTAATATTTTTGAATGAAGCCTCTTATGCTGCATTGATTAAAAAAAATACAGAAGAGTAATATTGTGAAATATTATTATAATTTATAACAATGGTTTTCTATTTTAATATATTTGAATTTTAATGTATTCCTTTGATTGTAAAGTTGAATTTTCAGCAGTTATTACTCCAGTCTCACTTGATCTTTCAGAAATAATACTGATTTCCTACTCAAGTAACTTGTCTTATAATCAATGTTGAAAACAGTTGTGCTGCTTAATATGATACCTTTTTTTCAGAATTCTTTGATGAATAAAAAATTCATAAGAACAGCATTTATTTGACATCTTTTTTTTTTTGTAACAGTGTAAAAATCATTACTGTCACTTTTGATCAGTTCAGTGCATCCCAACTGAATACATTTATTATTATTTTTTCTTAATTTTACTGACCCCAAACTTATGGTAGCGTATCATATTAGTTTTCAATGTCCTAATAAACTCCTATCCCTATTCAAAAGGCAAATCAGTCAAACAAACTTGAAGCTTTTACTCACCCACAGACTAGTATAAGTATTTAAAAGATTCCTTTTCTGATGGTAATTCACATGCAAGTTGTACCCAGAAATTGTATATTGAATAGTATATTGAATAGTTTAATGATTTATTATGAATCTTGTGAAATCATGTACGAATGTAATGGAAATGCAATGCCTAATTCAGCTCTGCTGTGAACCTCTTTAGTCAGTCTTGAAGAGTTTGAAGCAAATCTAGGCTGTGAGGAAGCTAAACATAGGTGCCCCATCAGACCGCTGTGCTTTCATGATATCACTCACATTCTGAGAGAAACCCCTCAGCAGTGAAGAAGGGCCTTGAGCAAGAGAGAGGCCAGAAGAGCTTGAAGAAGTCCTGAAGTGTGCAGTTGTCGTCCTTGTTAGCAAATATGTAGTGTATTTATTTTAAAAAAAGAAAAGGAAAAATGTGATGTAGAGGTCTAGACTGTTTGCAAATGGATTGTGGAATGGAATGAAGAGAGGCATGTGAAATATGCTTTCCTTTCCGTTTTTGTTTTTTTGTCCATTCTTTTTTTCTTTTGCAAGCCATATTATTTCAGCTGACTAAAAACATGTATGGATATACAAAAACAAACAAATGATAAACAGGAAACGGGGTTAGGGTAGTGCAGTCTATCCCAGCACAAACCCCTGTTCCTGGACACACAAAGACCTCGGGCTCAACGGTGTTTGTAGTGCAGTTGTAATGCGAAAGCGAAATGCATCCAGACAGCGAAGATGGGGGGAGGGGAGCAGGCTACTGCAAGTGCCTTAACCTAAACCCCACATATTCACCCCCTCAATGCCCCCTCGATTTATATGAGACGAAACAAACACAAAACCAGCTGACCCCGCTCTCCAGACACTAATAAATGAATAGACTAAATGCTGTTGAACACAGTATATATGACTGCTCCTTGGTAGAAAACAATTCTTGTATTTAACGGCGGTGGGAAGTAATCTCATTCACAACGAACAAGCAACCAGACAAGAAACACATTAATTGCCTGGGCAACATAATGAGATTTACAGAGGAAGAAAAAAACAGCATAGCCAAAACAGTCAAATTACACCAGCAACAGTCTTTGTTAACCAAATCCAACATTCACAGATTCCTCCATAACACAATAAGGGAAAATGCTTACTGTTTTATAGCAAAGTATTTAGAATAAGAGAAGAGGGAAAAACATGAAAGTGTGCTCAGACAGGTGTATATGGCTCCTTTTCCTGCTCCCGGTGACCCCTGATGTCTTTTTGGTGGGATGGGAGGGGAGCTTTATGTCCCTGATCTGGAGCAGATGGGGCTCCGTCTCTTGCCCACTGACATCTCTGCGGCTAGTCATCGGAACAGATGGGTACTGAGGGATCCTGGGATACTGCTAATCTGCTCCACCACAGCATTTAGAGATGGTGCATCCCCCTCAGTGTACACACTTACATCGACAAATCAGCTTGAGTTTGAATGGAGATGAATCACTAAAGTAACTATGATTTAGGCTGGTATGAATCCAAGGGTGTAATGCAACCTTTTTTTTTTTTTTTCAAATGCAATTAATCGTTCAGCCCTACACCAGATGCAATCCTAGCTCACTCCTTTGCAAGATAAGACAAGATAAATACTTTTGTAAATAATGTAGTTACTGATGCAATATAGTAATGCAATACACACAAATAATACATGTTATAAAACATGACTAGATATTGCATATATGTATAACATATATTATATAGCATGAGTATTTTCTTTTTTTTAAATGCCTGCAGAACTACAAATATTCCACTCACTGTGCAATGTAGGAATAGCTTAAAATAAATGCATATGTGAAATTCAAAGGGTGATTTTTGCTTTATTAATGTCGAGATTAGTGATTATTAGACATCATACTATAAGTAAATAATTTCTTCCTCCATCAAATATTTAAAACCAATTCCTACAAAGTTCCACATCGGGACTACTCAGTCTAAACCATAAGGTATTGACAAATGCCAGTAATAAGGGCAACCTCTTCTGACCTCTTCTTAAAGCACTAATAAATGTAATGCAATAGAACCTGGAATTCTGTCACATGCACTTCAACCGACAAACAACAGAGAACAGGACAGGAATTTCATTGTTATTCATCACTTATCTCTTGACTTCATGATTGTTAGCCTGTTTTTATATTACTATAATATATCATCACAAATAAAACGGCGTTTATTCACCAGACACGAAGCAAATATCAATGTAACGTAACGTTAATGTTTACTATCACGCGGGTGCACAAAAACGAAAGGGCTGGATACAACTTAAAAGCTGTATGTGCGTTAGAGAAACTTATCTAATTAATTCTTATGGAAAATGAACATATTTCATATTTTACTCGTTCTGCAACTTGCCACTTTCCGATTCTCAACGTGTATGTGACAGGGTCTGTCAATTCTCCATAGGCCACAACGGGGAAATTATTCGATGCCTTCTTATAGGCATTTTTAAAACGGTAATGCAACCGAAACATATTTACTTCACCACGTTGCATCTGAAACTTTAAATTATTATTTAACGTTATAAATTGTTTAGCGTGGCATAGCCTACAGCGCGCTCGTGTAGTCACATGACAGCTCATCCCGACAGATTTTATATATGGCCAAGGCTTTATCTAGGTGTCCTGCAAAGAAGTCAACGGAGTCTGTAACGTTACACTCTCAAAGCATTGCATCCGAAATAATGCTGCACTAACACTGACCATCAGAGGCTGAATGCTGAGACACACATATTGCATATTTGCAGAATGAACATCCGAACACAACGCTTCTAATTTATTTAGTTACATGTGTATATATTTCACATCCACACAAAGACAAACTGGATTAAACAGTTAGTCGTTTGGGGACAGAATTCCTTGAAATACAAAATGCACGGTCCATACGGTCCTATTTCGAGACTCGATTTGCACCCACGCTCTAAATCATGCGGACTACAGCACATTTTCGAAAACGAGCGAAAATAATGTTTATAATTACTTACGCTTTCAGCGGATTCTGAATGACAGTCGCCATTTTGCCACACTGTAACCCAATATTCCAAATCTCTGAGTTCTTTAGAAGAGACATCTGGGTCTGCTGCCCCCAAGCTCCTATTCTAGGTATGACATAAAATATCTTATGGATGCAGCTTTTTTTCAGAAAGTACTTGACCAGGAAAAAAATTGGATCCCAAAATGAATTCGATTCCAAGGTTGTTCTCATTTTGCAGGTTAATCCATGAAGTGAAAGTCAGTGGGATGCAACGTCACAGGCTGGAGGTGCAGAGCTCCAACTCCACCAGCCCGAACACAGATAACTTCCATCTTATTGTTGTAAGCCTCTCATTTAATGGAAAAACTTGAAACTTGATTTCTGAGGCAACTCAGTCCATTTAAATGTGTTCTCAGTGGAAAAACTGTTATGCTGAGGACAGGCAACTTGAGAACAGTCAAACCATTTGTGGGTTACTCTTTGTTTTCATGAAAATGGATTGCTGGCAGGTGTTACTGGAGCTTTTGGCTTCCAGTTGTCTGTTCTTTGAAAAACTAGCAGAAGGAAGATTAAGTTTTGGCAGTGATTGTGGTTTCAGTCTGACCGTTTTCCTTTTTTTCTGGATGCATCTTATTAGGCAGATTCAGCTTGTGAACGAGTCTTCACAGTAAATGATGTGTCACACGGAGGCTGCAAGTACGGCATTATGAATTTCCACGGCTGCAGAAAAGGCTCTCTGTCGGTGGAGATGTGTGATAACCTTTATTTCACTAACCGTAAGGTAACCAGGGGAATTTAAAATGAATTCCTTTCACCAAAAATAAGATGTTTTATAGTATTGAAAACTATTTCCTTTTAATTTTGTTTCAGGTGAACTCTGTGTGCTGGGCATCCGTGACACATACAGACTCTCATGTTCTGTATCCTTCAAACCAGGCCCGGACTGGCCATCAGGAGCACCGGGAGAATTCCCGGTGGCCTGGCAGCTGATTTGGCCCGCTGCCCTGTTTTTTTTTTGTTTTTTTGTTTTTTAGTTATTATTATTATTATTATTAATATTTTATATTTATGCCTTCTCAATGTACCAAAGTGATCATTTCCGAGTTTTTAATTTGATGATAAGTCATAAATCGGTTAGTCTTGACTGGCAGCGCTGCGCTATACGAATCAGCTCACGTCTGTTCCGCGCTTCCGTCAAACGGTTCCGAACAGAACCGATGCGTGGGACTCGATGAAAGAGAGGAAGCGGCCAGAAGAGGCAGTGAAATGTAGCAACATCACTGACCTGTTCAGGGCTTCAAGTGCAGGTCAGTTTCTTCTGTAAATACGCTAGAAAGTTTTGTCTTTATTAACCTAGTTGAGTATTAAACTGCCAGTAGGCTATCTGTTAG